TGATGCCATATTATTGTACACAATGTTACACTGTTGTCTCAGGATGTGTGTTTATGCAGTATTGAATGATAATGTTGATATTCAATGATTTTTGGCACTCGGATATTGGAGTCCTGGACTTATGCTTTTCCTGTGGGACTCACTCAGATTTTAAGAACCCACTATTTTTCTTGGTATGGAACTTATCAAAATTTTGTAAATGGAGTTCTGGACATGCCTGAAAAAATTCTACAAAAAATTACTGATATTGCAATACATTGGGACTGTCTATGTGTCTTGCAAAATGTGTCACAAAACAAACACTCTGCCTAGCCAATGTCGAGTGGTTGGGAAAATGAGTAACATGTAGCACTATAACACTAATACCAACATAGGTGCTGAACATGGAACATGTATAGATCTGACCTTCAACAAGCAATTAGGTATGAGAAAATTATATATATAAAATATTGAAAATCACCAGTACATCTTGACAGACCTCACGGACAATTCATAGTCTTAACCAGTGAATTAAAATATTCATTCTAGAAAAATGAAAATATCCATCACAGGCTTACTTCCACTATATTTTCACTTTTTCCAGAAAGAACAAATCTCCAGAATCATTCAAAAACAACATTTTAGAAGCATATCCGCTTCTTGTTCAAGGAGGTGGATTTGAGGTGATGAGGACTGCGACAGGGAACCGGACAAGCCTGGTTCCCATATGGATACCTCCTGGGGGTATCCATACACAGTATTTAGCAGATGAAAGTGGCCTGGGCCAGGCCTTGTGCTATATAAGACCTATTCAGCGAGACATTGTTATAGAGGTATATCTATGCTTGTAAGACTTAAGTTAGAAAAGGCTTTTCTTAGGCATGTTTTATCATAGGTAAAAGTAATGCAGGTCATACCAGTCAACTATCAGAAATTTCAATGATGGGGAAAATGGGGAATTGGGGTTACAGCTTATGCTGAATGTGTTTTGTGTAAGTGTGAAAAAAGTCAGAACATAAAGTACTAAAGACGAGTTATCGATCATGAGATATTAAATTCAGTCATTCCCATGCAGGAACAATCCTTGTTATTACTTTAGTAATTTCACAAGTTTTTGATTTTAGGAATTGCCTATGAACACAGATAATGATGTTAAAGAAAGATGCTTGTCTTGTGATGAGCTAGTACCAATGAATCAACTGCGACAACATCTACTGGAATGTGATAAAGCTGATCATGAGGTATTAAATTTCATTTTATATTAATTCTGTATGATATGGCTTTGTAACTTAATTCAGGTGCCATATGGTAAATAACAAATGTATTTTAAATTTGTCCAGTAAATTTTGGCTGCTTTTTGTTTCCCCTGCAAAAGGCGACATCACTATGTCGGTGGCGTCGTCCACACTAAGGTTTTTTCTCGATTACTTAAGTTCCACTTGGTCAATCAACTTCAAACTTCACATGGTGCTTCCTCACCAAAAGTGCTTGCTTGGGATTGTTTTTCAGGACCAAGGGTCAAAGGTCAAGGTTGCCGTTACTATAAATAGACAAGTTTTTTAGGTCACCTGAGACGAAGTCTCATGTGACCTATTCTTATCGCCTTTTTTGTCTGTCGTCGTACGTCGGTCGTTCGTAAACAATTGACATTTTTGACATCTTCTCCAAAACCCCTGGGCCAATTTCAATGAAATTTTGCAAAAACCTTTTATAGACTAAGATGAAACAAAATTGTGAATTTTGAGTTCCCCTGACCCCAGGGGCCAGAGGGGTGGGGCCATAAAGGGTCAAATTGACTAAGATTTCAAAAATCTTCATCTCAAGGCCCAGATATGGTTGGATCAAATACTATTCTTCAATAGAAACACCTTTAGGTGCTTTACCAAAAATTGTGAATTTCATGACCCTGGGGTTCCCTGTTTTCCCCTGTGGAGGGGGTAAAGTTTACTATATTAAATTTAAATTGGAAAATGTCATTTTGGTCATAATTTACTTCAATTCCATTGAAAATTATTCAAACTAGTTTACAATTATAAGTATTGGATAGTTGATTGATGAAGTCTCCTAACTGACCATTACTTACCCCCTGGGGGCCAGAGGGGCGGGGCCAAAAGTGGTAAAATTAGCTGAAAATACAAAAATCTTCTTCTCAAGACCCACATATGGTGGAATCAAATACTGTTCATATATGCATAGATCTTGAGGTGCTTTACCAAAACTGTGAATTTCATGACCCTGGGGTTCCCCGTTTTCCCCTGGGGAGGGGGTAAAGTTTACTATAGTTTATATAGGAAAATGTCTTTTTTGGTAATAATTTACTTTAATTCCATTGTAAATTTTTCAAACTAGTTTACAACTTTAAGTATTGGATAAGTAATGGTAAAATTGGCTGACAATTCAAGAATCATTTTGTCGAATATCCTATTTGTATGCAGTGGGAACCCTTTTACTCAGGTGACCGTTAAGGCCCATGGGCCTCTTGTTTCACGATAACTTTAGTTCCCTGTGGCCTATCAACTTCAAACTTGATACTATGGTTCCTTACCAAAAGGGCTTGCTTGGGATTGTTTTTCAGCTCAGAGGGTCAAAGGTCAAGGTCACTGTTACTATAGATAGAAAATTAGTTTTTTCGTGATAACTTAAGTTCCTTTTGGTCAATCAACTTCAAACTTCACACAGTGCTTCCTCACCCTGCTCTGCAGGCAACACATCCATTTCTGTGGAATTCTTGTTTTGACTTCTGACCCTCCAATTCATGTCTATGGAACCGGTCCTGTCAATGTTGTTAGTGTTTTTAATTTTCGATCAATAAATTTAAGATTGTACAAGTCATTGTTCTTTTAATACAGGTTAATTACTGCTAAATGCACTTGATTTTGAAGGGCCCCATCTTTGGTATTGGGAAGCTGTTTACAATGTATGTATATAGTGATGACTTTGCAATAGAAAACCTAGTTAATTTCATCCCATTATTCATGACAGAAAAAAAAATCAAAACTTATCATTCAATCACAAATGTACAAATTAAACTAAATGTTCAATTTTATCTTTTAGTTTGATGATGAAATGCCGCGAATGAAGAAACCTAAGAAGAAAGAATATGACATAGATGATTTGGCAGATGATAAACCCAGATGTTCCTCTAAGTATGTATGATGTATCATCAATAAACTACTTACAGTCAATAGTCAACTCTATGTTTAGCTCATATTGTGCAGTGTCCCATCATCCTTCTTATAACATTTTCTAAAATTCCCTACTTTGAAGTAAGTCATAAACAATATGATAAGTGCAGATTTTTATTGTCACCCTTGTACATAAGGCTCTGTCAACACCTCATAAGAGGTCATGTTTTGTAGCCTCTACTTAACACTTGGGTAAAGTTGAGCACTGAGGTAAAATTAGACCTGGGTATCAGAGTTACATGAAATCAGGTCAAGCGGTTTAGTTATCAAAAAAACCTACTGAGCTTCAAAAACCAAGGTCAATGTCAATATGTCTGTAGTGTCAAGGTTAAGTTTACACAGCTTTTCAATAATGATTTTTTCATAATGACATTGCAAAGCAGACTTTGGTATAATCAAGCAAGAAATCAACGGACCAAATATCAGTCTCTGGGTCATAGTATAAGGTCAGAATTTGTAGCTTTTTTACTGATAAAAGACCTGTTATAATGTACATTTTGAAAAATCAAGCAAGCAGTCAGCTGATAAAAAATCAAGGTCTCGATATCAAAAACAATTGCCATATTTTGTAGCATTTCACTAGTGAAAAAAATTGTTGTGATATTGTGAGCCAAGTTCAACAAAATTTAATGAGGACTCAACAAACCAAAAGTCAGGAGGTCAAACTCACTGCTTTAAAAATCAAGGAAACAACTAAATTTTTTCACATTTGAAAAATCAATTATTAAAGATCAAATGCAACAAGTTTGGTCACTAGATCAAAGCTCAAAGACTGATGATTTGGTTGATGTAAATGGGGCCTTTTGCTATTAGTATTGCAAAAGCTATGGTACTGGTAAATCAAAATCTTGTGACCATTCAGGCCCATATTATAGGTAGAAAGAAATTTTGTTGTGTTCTTGAAAGAATATCTAATGATTTCATGAAGGTCATATACATAGCTTAAATATCGAACTTTCTTTCACTCCGTAGTGATATCAGTTCCAGTATTTGTCCTGTATGCAGTCTGAATTTCCCAGCAGGACAACTGGAGGTTCATGCATCTACTTGTGGTGATGTGCAGGCTCAAATTAATTCATCAAAATTAGCTAGGTGCGTACATGGTTAGAAACATTTGTTTGTAGTTTTATCAATATTTTACCGTAATGAAATAGAGTCAATCAGGTTTGACCAAATGTCAATGTAATGGCTAAAGATGAAATCAGGTGTTGCATTTTTTAGGACCCTATTTCTGTACTAGTAATCACTATCTGTCCATCTGTGTGTTCACAAATTAACCAGAAACTAAATTTGTAAATAGAAAAGTTTTTGCATACACTGTCAGCTTTAAGTATTCAGTTGGCATTTCTGTTTTATGAATGCCAACTAAAAGCAATTCAATACTTATATTTACCATGATTAGAATCTGTTTATCTCATAAAGAATTCAATTATCTTTTCATCTCTCAGCATTTAGCTCAAGTGATATATAAATTGTGGGTGCTTGTTCTGACAATGAAAAAAACAGCAATTTGCCAACAGACAGTCGATCTGTGGTAACCAACATAGCAACTGCAGCAGTCAATGTCATTCATAGACTTATGAATGCCGACTAAATTTGGTAGGGTTATATAGAGGCAATGTCATGTAACTTATAGTATAGTAACATGTCAATAAACATTCATGTTTGCCCCTTCAGTCAATAAGAAATATGAACACAACTCCTTTTGTTGTAACTAAACATAAATACTATTATGTTTTTCAGCACATTCGCTGAGGCTTTAGGACAGTGTTTTGATCTTGACGAGGAGGACATTTTTTTGTGAGAATCCTTAGGAGTGATTTCATTGAAACAACAATGGAAGTGTTAAAGGATGCTGATGAGGACGATTGGCTGAAACCGATGAAAGTCCAGTTTATTGGTAAAGAGGGGATAGATGCAGGAGGGCTGGCTAGGGAATTTTTTTCCCTGTTGTTTAAAAACACTACAGTTTTCCAGGGGACAACATTTTCCTTAAATCCAGATTTTCTGGAAAAAAAGACATACAAAATTATAGGGCAAATCACAGCTAAAGCCCTTGCGCAGGGCCATCCAGGTCCTGCATGTTTAAACAAACATATTGTCAGATATCTCTTAACCGGAATTGATGATACATGTACTAGTAATATAAACTTAAAGGAAGGCGAGTTGGGAGCCGACATAGACAGGGCCATTAAACAGGTAAATTTTACATTTACACTATCAGACTCCAAAAGTTAAGTATACAGCCATCATGTTTTGTTGCCTCACCTGGCCCAAAGGGACTTCATGTACCTTTACAGCTATTAGTATTATACATGAAATACCTTAATTGACTTCTTCTGGACTGCTAATTTTAACTAAATTTAGTAGGATGCATCTCTATGTGGTTGGGATTCAATATTTATACAAATAATGGGCCTGAGGGTGAGGCCAGGAGGCGTCCTTTTGTCACTATTGACTTCTCCCTGGTGTTACAATTTTATGTACACCATGCAAGGATCCGTAGATCAGTGACTTATCCTTTTATCAAATTGTATGTCATTTATGTGTGCATTTAGGTAATATTAGGGCCTCACATCTCTGGAATCTTATCTGTACAATAGAAATCCTCTGGTCTAGTCTATCTGTCCCAGATTTTGACTTCAGCATAATTGCATCAAGATCACCAGATCATTTAGGTCATATTGTGCTCAAAGGAAAGGTCATAATTTTGTTTGTTAATTGAAAAGATAAACAACTTCTGGGAGGTGAGAGGTCGAGGTCACGGTTACCCCAGACTTACTTTTTCTTGTTTTCTTTTTGTCTTTTTTTTAAAGTTAATCCTTTTATTATTGTTTGGCCATTTATGTGGTAGTAAGCTTTGCAGTGTCCTTGCTGACCGGTGAATGTTTAATAAAATTGTAGATGTGGTTTATTTTATTTGAACAGCTCTCAGAAGCCACTGCCGACACAGTAGGAAGTGTTTTTGAGCAAAATGCTTCTGTACTGGAGGCAACAGGATTTACAAAATTGCTGACGTTGAAAAACAGAGATGAGGCCATAAAAGTAGTGAAGGCTCACTACCTTCTATACAGAGTCATGGCATCTGTAACTCAGTCCAAGGAAGGTAAGCTGTAACAAGGTTTCAACCATAATTCAACAACTATGTAATAATCAGTTTTATTGAAACTTGGTCCAATTGGTTAACTAATCAATGCCTATAAATCAGACACATCAGGTGTTCCTGAACCTTTTTTATGGAAACATTGTTGAAGCTTTTGATTGGTCAAAAATGAAAAATTATCTGGTTTTTGCCAAAATTGATATACAGGTATTGTTTGGCATAAGAAACAGAAAAGAATGAAGTCCATTTTGTAAAATATTGGTTTCCAGGTAACAAAGGAATGCCCCTTTAATAATGATAAGTTAAAACTTTAACTGCGTGGCTGAGCATATGTCCTAAGTTTGTTTGTCATATGAAATCTTGAAACCTCTTGTCAGATTTAGTTCATACTTACATCATCAGAGCACTAAGTAACAATCATGGTCATCGATAGTTAAGGGTCAAATGTGACCACTTTGTGGGGATGAGGGTATATCTATGTGAGCCCTTAATTGCTCAGTTTTTTAATGCCCCCGCCATTTATGGCCGGGGGCATATAGTGTTACCCGTGTCTGTCCGTCTCGTCTCGTCCCGTCGCGTCCCAAATCAGTATATTATACCACCTAAAACTTCATTCTGAAGACAATTTTCATGAAACTTCATACAAATATCAAGTATGGAAAGACCTCATGCAGTGTTGAGTTTCTCGGCATTCTAAAAAAGATGGCCAATCAGGGGGAGATAACTCAAAAAAGATGAACATCGTCTGATTTCTACATAATTTGGTACTTGTGGGTTTTAAGGCATAAGGAAGACAATGGTTGCCTCTGTTTATCAAAAAGACAAAATGTCCACCATGGGAAAAGATAACCCTCTTCCATGGGGAGATAACTCTTACACCAACTGTTACGGACTTCTCACTATTATTTCACATTCATGTCTTACAGACATTTTCTAGTTTTATTAAAGAGCACATAAGATTCAACTTTTAAAGAACAAATAAAGAATACTAAGATATCATTTTCTGTACATGTTCATAACCTTAAACACATAGGAGTACTCTTAAAGATACACACAGCTATTTCTTCCCCATGTTGATGCATGTTTTAATATTTTAGGGCTTAAGTTGGGAGGAGTCCTTGAGGTATTAAGAAGATTTCCCAAGGATGCTGAGGGTGTGTTGGGGTCAGGAGGAGGAGTTACAGCTGAGGATATTCACAATTTTTACAGCCCAATTTACTCCACAGAATCTACAGAGAAATCAAAAGAGCAGCGGATTGTCTATAATCTCAATAGGTTCCTGTGTAAAATTGAAAGTATGATTATCTGTTCTTATATGCAGGGTTTTCCTGGTATAAGTTCTTTTGTCACTTTTTTCTGGTGCCAAACCTCTGACATGGTATAACTTGGTATGACTGTAATACTGCAGCATGGGAGAGGCAAAGGCAGGTCGTATGACATGAACTACTTTTGGATCCAAACATTGGTCATAAGGTCACATAGAAAGTGCAAAGGTAAAATCCATACTTTTTACACATACATTTGAAAGTTTTAGACAACTCTGCAATTATTTGATTAATATAGTGATCAAAGTCAAAGGTCAACATCTTGAAATTATTTGCCTTTCTGTTAATACAGTTGCAACAATTTAATCATGTGAGAATTATTGTGACAAAGTTTAACATCAGAAGGTCAAAGAAGTAGTTCACAGACTCTGTCGATCAAAGTCTTAAATTAAAAAAAAAAAGAAAAATTTCTCTCTCTCTGAAATATTTGACTTTTTAAGTCATTGGGCTTTGTCCATCAACATCTGATACGGTCTGCCATCCATCTAGTATAAACTTTTCCTTCAGATGTCTCTCTCAACAACCAATAAAAGCCCCAGGGTGTTGATAGTATGCATGTAGTATGCTGAGATGAAGAAGTACCAAGTTTGTTTTAATGAAAGACCTGGACTTAATTATTTCAAGGTCAGAGAGGTCAGAAGTCTTAAAATCTTCCAGCAAAGTCTTCTTGGCAAACAAAAGGCCAAGAATACTAATTTCTCATATTACATTGTGATATGAAAACCGAAAACCTAGTTTTGACCATGCACATATTACATGTATGTGTAGTTTTGACTGAATTGTCTTAATTTATTGCCATTAAAACTAAAAACAATATGTTTCATGGTTCATCTTGTTATCCCCTTGCAATGCAATGTCAATACATGTAGTAACGGGGCTTTGGTTCCGTGCATGTATGCGTCCATGCGTGCATCACACATCTTGTGAACATGGTAGAAACCAAACCCTTCTGTATATCTTCATCCAAATTGGTACACATATCACTTATTAGGAGGGTATGGTGCCTATTGATTTTGATCGCAGGTCACAGGTCAAGATCACAGTGGTTACATATGATTACCTTGTGAACGCAAGAGACACAACCGTTTAGTGCATCTTCATCAAACATGGTACACATCACTCTTATGAAGAGAAGAGAGTTCCTATCAATTTTCAGGGTCAAAGGTCAAGGTCACGTTCTTCACATAAAAAAGAGGGGTTTGCATAGGGATGCTATACTTTGCATTTCCCTTGTTATGTTTTGTTATTGCAAAGACATTTGTTAACTTTTATTAAAATGACACACATACATGAAAGAGATGACGCCTATTTAAGCGCTTGGATGATCCTGACAATTTGTAAATACATGTAATTTGGCTGCCACCAATAACTCACCATGATCTCGTACCAAAGTTATGAACTACATGCAGTGACAATGACATAACTTACGGTAATATATCGCAATATGTATTGCAGTATTATTCTTTTGTATTGCACTATATCGCAATATGCAAAAACCATATCATGGCATCAGTATCTGTCAATGGTTGTTAACCAAACCTAATGCAACAATTTTCTTACAAGTGCCATAATGTGTAATTTTCATATAACACTATGTTTGTTTGCTTTGCAGAAAACAAAATATCTTCTACATGGTTAAATCCATGGCATGATGGTCAAGATACACCTGAAGATCAGACAAAAGCTATCAGTCTGGAAAATGTGTCACAGGCACTTATCGGAAGTCCCAGACTTCCAAGAGATGTGTCCAAAGGAAATATTCAGTTTGACTACAAATCATCCAATCTATCGAGTGTTAACACTTGCGTACCCTTCATTACTTTTTCAAATATTGACTCCATCCAAGCATATGAAAAATTTGAGGAGGCAATGATCTTTATAGTAGTTGGTGCATATGGATTTGGATGTGCATAGAAAAATTACAGATTTACACCAGCAGTTCTCCAAACCTGACTCTTTACAAGTTTTACATCATTTACATCAAGGGTAACCTGGTTACTGCAGATTGCTTATATTTCGCGAGAACTTAATTTTTGCATAAATTCACAAGAACCCTGGGTCGCAAATTTAAACATATCATGAATTCTTATCATTTCAGACTATCAGAGACGAATATGATCGGACACAGTTTACCGTTACTGTTGGCCTTATTGCCAGTGTCGTTTCATTTGTGTAATATTATCCACAGAAGATACAGTAACCTAATTAATCAGTGAATGCAGATGTGTAATATTAGACGAAAAAGTGTCAGCATCTTTCAAATAACCTTGCATTAAGATTGTCCCAAATGCGAAATGGAAAACCACTTTTCTATAAATAGATCATCCGTCACGATTAGGCAATGCACAATAGAGAACTCATTCAAAATTGTTTTAAATTTGAATTCCTTGAACAAAGTACAATACTTCTTTATGTTTTTGGATGAGATGATTATATTTAAATATATGATATATATATATAGTAGCGTTCACGTGTAATCATTCTCAGCACACAATAGGGTCATTAGCGGTACTGTAATCACATACTCATAGTCTAAGAAAACAGAAATCAAAACTAATAATCAGTGCTGAGTTATGTGGTTAATCTCTTCTAGAGAAAAGATCGGTCTATTAGAGATCACATATTGTAATGATCATTTTGATGGTGGGTGTCAAGATCCTCTGGGATCTTTTGTTGCCCAATCTGTCCATTACCTGGTATAATGATTGAACTTAGTTTTTACATATGGATTCATAATTTGTTTTTCTAACATGTTTGATATAATTTTGTTACTGATGCCATGTGTACCCCTTGACATATTTGGTTCATATTAATACTAAAGCATCACATGATCAAGTACTAACCTGATTACATTTTTGGTGGTCATTGGTCAAGGCTGAAGGTCAAAAGTAAACTTGACCACTTTTAGCACTGAGAGTGGGAAATATATGCAAGTCCCTGCTCACTATGTTTTTATCACGTCACTGTTGCAATTGCCTTTTGTCCATAGTGCACAAGACTTTTCATTCAAACGACTTTCAATAACTGGAAGACCTAAGATGCTAATATTTGGCCCGTAGCATGCTGGCATAGAGCCCTACCAAGTTTGTTCCTTGAACTCCTTTCAAGGTCATAAGGGCCAAAATTGTTAAAATCTTCAAACAACTTCTTCTCAGTAACCAAAAGGTTCAGGGCACCGATATTTGGCCTGTAGCAAGCTGGCTTATATCCATAAGATCTTGCAAGAGTTCAAAAACCAGACAAATTTGATCAAGTTTGACCGAGTTATTGCCTTTTGTTGTGTTATAAGCAATCTTGTGAACACAATAACTTGGTTAATTATTGACCAACTGATGAAACTTTTTATGCTGCTTTATATCCATAGGATCTTGAATGAGATTGAAAACCATTCACACCTATTTGATCAAATTTTAAAAAGTTATTCCCCTTTGTTGTTTTATTGTATTACAAATCTTCTGAACACAATTACTCTAGCAAATATTAACCCTTTTTTTGAAACTTTGTATGTGTTCTTATAGCAGATCTCAGTTGAGTTCGTAAACAGAATAGAATTTTCCCCTTTGTTTAATTATCTGTAGACCTTTGAACACAATAACTTGATGCCAGACAGTTCCATGTGAATTTTTAAGTTATTTTTATAACATGATATAAAAAAGTGAAAAAAAATAGTGAAAGCTTTGTTACTCGGTTGACTGTTAATGCCCTTGGGCCTCTTGGTTTTTAAGAAAACCAGATGCAATGTTTGTATGTCCCAGATAAAGATCATGATTGCTAAAAGTAGAATGTGTTTTGGGTCAAACAATAAGTTGTCTGACATATCTCAGTTCCTGGTTGCAAAACTAAATGTACCTGTTCTCACATTAAATGTTGGACATTAAACACATTAAAATTTCTTTTGAAGAAACAGTTTTGGAAATGTCAAGTACAATACATAGTGTCTGATGCAAAATCCAAATGATGTAAATAAGTAAATGTCTATAAAAAAACCAATCATAATTTCCAGATAATATGATTATTTATCATTACTAAAACCACTTCCTGCATCTACAGGAATTCATTTTCTTGGTTCAGATCCCTTTTAAAGGCAGTGAAAATCATTTCTTCCTTCATCAATAGTTTCTCAATAATACAATATTGTGCATGTATTTTTAAACCAAACTTGAAATTCCATAGAATAACATGTTGAGTTTGGTAAAATTCGTAAATCTAGGAAGCGCAATTAATGTTACCATATAGAAAACTGAGTTATTGTTCAAGGAGCAGGTTGAATGAAACGGGTCAGTAACATTTTTCAGTATTAGAGGTGAAAAAAACAGGAAACAATGTATAATAACAAAATGGCATTTATTCTTACAGGAAAATTAAATGTACAGTTTTGAAAGAAATTTTCATATGCATTAACTGTTATTAAAATGATTTCATCAACTTCTTTGTGTGTTGTCATCTATTTGGTATGCATTGCTTTTAACATCATATTTCTTTTGAAGCAATAAGAATTAAATGGAAAACAAGATTTGAAAAATTACGTCCCCCACCGGGCATACCTTGATCGAGGTCAAAGTCAAGGTCACAGTGACCTACTTTTGGTATGTGTCATATACATGTGTACTTTCTTACCATGGTGCACCCACATGCCAGGTTTGAATTTCCAGTATGAAAACGTATGAGCCTGGACATGCTCTTTCTTCCACAGAGGTCAAAGTTAAGGTCACAATGGCCTACTTTTGGTACACGACAAACCATCTCACCATGGTGCACCTACATACCAATTGTGAAGTTCCATTATGAAATGGTATAGGAGTTGGATCTTGAACAAGGATTTTCTTTACAGAGGTACAAGGTCACAATCAAGGTCACAGTGTCCTACTTTTGGTACCAGACACACCATTTTACCATGGTGTGCCCACATGCCAAGTTTTCAGTATGAAATACTATGTAAAACACGGTTATAACAAATCTCTGGGGACCATGATTTTTAGTTTGTTATAAGCATAATTCATTATACACTTTAGATTTTCATATAAAAGACACCTAAGGGGACTTAAAAATCACTGAATTCATTGTAAGCGAGTTTCTTGTAAGCGTGTTTTACTGTAGTATAGCGACAGACAGAATTGACGCAAACTACAGCCCCCCTTAAGTTCCCGGTGGGGGAGTAATAAATCCTGTGATGGACATAAAATTTTACAAAAGTTTAGAGGAGATTTAAAAACCATCAACCATGTAATAATCCATGATATATTTATGCCTACTGAAAGCTTCTCAGGAGTTGGACCATTTCCTGGAAAAGATCTATCCCAAAACACAATGAGTTTCTGTGAGTAATTTCAGATATTGTCTGATGGTGTTCCTCCATTATAGGAAATGTTGGTGTTGGCGGTATTTCCACGCAGTCAGGATCAACGTGGTCTGGCACTGGACCATCATAGTCAATTCCAAAGTTCAATTGATCATTCTGTAATAAGAATAGGACACACTTAACAGTATTCTGATTCCTGAATAATTCAGTGCAAGTCCCCTGTCAATCAAATACTCAAATATTTGAAAGGGCCATAACTCTGAATTTGAAATGCTCTCATAAAAGTTTAATTAAGTGATCTGAAACAACAACATCTCCAAGTATGGTTTCAATTTAAAGTATTCCATGTATAATAGATGTCGGCAAACATCGGTGAACAATTCACATAGCAGCAGGGGAAGACAACTCCATTTTTTTTTCAAATGTCATATGGTCACACAATGCGGGTGGGGAGGGGGGGGGGTTGGGTTGGGTTAGGTTACTCTGTATTTCCTTTCAGATTTAAGATTTAATGCTAATATCTGCTGGTTCCCTTTAATTTTAAAATTATATCCACAAAACTCTATTGATGAAGCAAGTTGGCTACAGTTTCATGCGTGTACTACATTCAGGTTATCTATTATAACTGATTTTTACCTCACTTTGCGGATACCATGACGGATCCAGTATCTGTCCTCTGATCCACAGCTGAAGAGGCGTTTGATTTCCCTCTGTTCGAATAGGTCTCCGACAGAAGGAATCTCTGAAGACATCCAAATGCTGCTGAATCCTGGACTTAAATACTAGATGAAGAGCTAGGAGATGGGTCTCATCATCAGGATCTAACACAGATTCTATTTCCATATGATGAAAGATTTGATAGTAAAGTGCAACAACACCTGGCCACAGCTCTCTCCAAAATCTTTCAATCCTATTTTGATAGTTTTATTAGATAGAACATCTTATAAAGGGTAGAGAGAATAAAAGCCTTTAGTGAAACCACACTGCTTACTTTCCCAAAAATTTCTACTGTTATATAATCAGGGCTCTTAACTCCAACCATTAAAATATGTGAACATCCTTTAGTTATTTGTTGTCTGTTGTACCTATTTTAATGCCCAAATATTTTGCTTTTAATACTTCTATAAAGTGACTCTTTTTTCTTTAATATAATGACTTCATACTCATGACCTGCTACCCCAGTAATTTATTTACTCTTTACCTTTGATTGTGGACACTTCTCCCTGCAATAAAGCTTTTGGGTCCTTTCTGGGTTACCATATACTCAGCCACTTTGACATTTTCTCCTCCCTTGTCTGTTCTTACTTTTTCTGGAGTTCCATATTCTTGGACCGCATGCAAAAATGCAGCTAACACTGTTTCTGCACAGTTATTTGTGTTTACTTGTAGAAATACTGGTAGTCTGGAATAACCATCGATGCCACCATGAATCACAAATCTCCATCTAAATTTGATAAATGAAAGAAACATCTACAGCTGTACATGTAGACTACAATTACTTTTTGTAATTTAAATTGTATGGGTGAGCTTTTAACATCTATTTTCATAGCCTTTTAAATGGTCAAAAATAGTTAATAGCCAAAAAATATCACTGAACGATTTTAATCAACATAACTTTTTGATGTTTGAACATATCTTTTATTGTCCATAAGCAAAAAATACATATTGGGCACAAGTTTTTTCAACTTAGAAAATTAGTTAGCTACTGGCTACACATACACCCCTAATTCCGCCCCTGATGTATATACTACAAAATACCTTATCAATTTGTGCAACAATGCTGGATACATACACTGTAACTTCTTCGCTGAAGCCTATGAGATGATAAAAACATTCTTCTCAATAATGTACCCTGGGGATCCACTTTCTTACCAAATCCCTTACTTTTGACTGCTGCACAATGTGTCCCTTTGATTGGAGGATGGATGCTATAGTTTTATATCCGACGTTCGGAAATTCGTCGATGATCTTCCTTACTTCCTCTTCCAGCTCCACACACGTCATGACTGAATATTTGCTACGTATGGACGGTAAACCATATTCTGACATTCTCCTTCTAATAGTTTTTACACTTACACCCAACATAGAAGCAATGTCTGTTAGTTTAAAGTTGTATTTCAACAGCGACACTAGTGTTTCATAAGGAATTTTGTAATAAGGTGCACCACTTTTCCCTTGGCAACGCTCTAGTGTAATTATTGTACAGGCTGTATATGTACTAGACTGATGTTGGTCCTGGCCATGGTCATCGTGTTCCCGCAAATCATACAGTGCCCGCGCTGCCAGTTCCAATACTTCGGATATATCGACCGATGCTATCGCCGAAAATTGATTCAATATATCAATTGTTCTTTCCAATTCACCATCAATGTTTTGTACTCTGTCATTCTCTAATCTGTTTGCCAGACTCAAGAATTTGTCTGCTATTTCTATGAGAAATACACACACATTATTGAGTAAAAATCATCAAAACAGAGAATTTATCCAAAATTCAAAAACTCATACTTTCCTTCCATGGATACCACACCTTAAACTATTGGAATTGCCCTATAATCCAGTCTAAATACATTCTAAGGTTGTTACTGACTTATTTTATACCTGTTACCTACTGTAGAACAGTTTTCAAACTGACACCAAGCCTTTTCAAAACAGCTGAAATTCTCACCCACAAGAGCACCCAAATTACCTCCCTTTATGCACCCCTAATGAAATTAAAATAAAATCATTATGAACAAGTTTCAGTGTGGTTTTTTTTATGTATTTATAGCAATTATGGAAAGGATTAAACTTAATCAAACATAGTAAAGCACATTTTAAATAAATAATTTTTTTTTAATGTACTATAATTATACATCACAATTAGTTTTTTTAATTTCATTAAAATCCCTCTGAGTGTCTAGAAAATGATCACACGAACAAAACGATATATCGCTTTACTGTGTATCTCGAATAGCTATCGAGTAACACAGATTTTCCCGCATGGTGTGTTTTGACCAATTCTGCTCTCAAATTAGGAAGAAAGGGAGGTAATTTGAAAAACTAAAACCTCAATAAGTCTTAAATTTACTTGAATAAAGTTGCAATTGAAACTGAATCAAGTAGTTTGTGCTTCTGTGAATTTAGATAACTGAAAAGCAGATTGATACTACATATATAAAGTTTGATGTTATGACGTCATGGTAACAGCTGATGTCATCAGTACTATGACGTCATCAATTGTTAATGATGGCTTCACCAATGCACTGTGATGTCATAGTGAAGGCTAGAAATCCAACAAAAACTTCAAATTAGCATCTAACACATTTCTCGAAAGTAATTAACAGTGATATGACATTAGATATTCTTAAATGTCATGTGTATGACATCACAAACACCTATGATTACTGCCCCCCACCCTTCTTCAAGTGTAATATTAGAAACCCTATGACATTGCAATATTGTTCGAAAAATAGTATTTTTTACAGCAGTAACTATGGAAATGTCATTTGATGACAATATTAACATGATTGTATGCCCAATCTATGAGAAATACACACACATTATTGAGTAAAAATCATCAAAACAGAGAATTTATCCAAAATTCAAAAACTCATACTTTCCTTCTTAGTTACCATGGATACCACACCTTAAACTATTGGAATTGCCCTATAATCCAGTCTAAATACATTCTAAGGTTGTTACTGACTTATTTTATACCTGTTACCTACTGTAGAACAGTTTTCAAACTGACACCAAGCCTTTTGAAAACAGCTGAAATTCTCACCCACAAGAGCACCCAAATTACCTCCCTTTATGCACCCCTAATGAAATTAAAATAAAATCATTATGAACAAGTTTCAGTGTGTTTTTTTATGTATTTATAGCAATTATGGAAAGGATTAAACTTAATCAAACATAGTAAAGCACATTTTAAATAAATATTTTTTTTTAATGTGCTATAAGGTAGCAGTAAACAGTTAATTTGCATTTTTCCTGAAATTATTTGTCATGTTTGAGATATACAGGTATAGCAGATTGGTTATGAAAAATACATCATTACATGTATATATATTTATAAACTATATAACAATTACATTAACAGTAGAGAGATGAAATTTGTGTAAAAAAAAAATTTCCTCTGATTTCTGACATTTGATTGTCATGGTTACCTGAAAAAATGCTAAAAATGCAAAAATACTGCTAATTCCAACCCAACACTACAACTTTCTAGGAGAAATTTAATTCTAAACACCTATCTTACAATCAACAACACTGTCATGGTAACAAAGTACTTACATTTCAGCAAATTCCAACTCTTTTGTTTTTTTTTTTTTTTTGGTTTGGTAGTTTGTGGAATACCTTCAATTGCTTGCCAATACTTTTTGCCTTTACTGTAAATGTAGCATGTATGCTTAGGTATCATGTAGGTGAACTCATCAACTCATCATTACCCAATAGCCTGGAGCTCTCCAGGTCGCCTTCGGTTGTACAGGAGTAGACTTGCAGAAACAACATCCCCAATTCTACAAAAAATTTTCCAAGTCCTTTTTAGACAAATTAAAATCAGCAATGGCAGCTTTCAAGTGCTCATTGAGCTTGTTAATGCCATCAAGCTCTGGAAGTTTAGGACTTTTCCTATACATCCTCTGCTGCAGAAGAACTTCGGCCAGTTTTGTTACTCATGTTGCCCAGTAGATTGCCATTGCCTGCAGGTCTTCCGCTTCACCATGTGCTTTTTGGTCTCCCTGTATTATTGCTAGACCAAATTTTCCAGAAATCATATGTTTGATGCCTCTGGTCTGACAAGAGATCCCAGTGGGATCTTGGCTCCCACAATTTGAGGATCTGTTTTCAGTTCTTAAAGATTTGCTTTTTTTTTTTTTTTTTGTTACCGGTGTTTTAAACGTACTCAATGATTGCACACGATATTTTTATTAAGCACCTATTAGCAAATATCATGTGAAAAAGATCCTAAAGTATTATTAGATAGCAGTCAGTTACAGGTGGATAATGGACATGGTCTTGAATCAATATGATAGAAAATCGAAGAAAATATGTATGTGCTGTATTACTGTCGACATCCAAGATGGCTGCCTGTGGGCCACCTAGATTTCAAATCAGTCCAAAAAAGGTACAATGCACAACTAGGGACCAAGGGGAAACTGCATATGAAGTTTGAGAAAGATCCATCTGGTACTTTTCCAGAAATAGAGGTAACAAACTTTTACTTCCAAAATCCAAGACGGCCGCCTGTCAGCCATCTTGAATTCGAATCAGATGATAGTGGGCTAATAAAAGGTCACAATCTTGTATATAATAGTAAAAAAAAGACTTTACATGACATTCAGATGTATTTTTGACTTTGTGGTGCAGAATGTACCAACCAGAACATGTTCTTCTGACCCACAATGAACAACACAGGTGTCACCGCGCTCCTGGTGCACCTAGGAGTGTTTGGGGGGAATTATAGCTCTATAGTACTACTCTCAAGGATACTGAGCTGACCGTGAACTGTCTGACTGAACTGTTTTGTCTGTAAAATGAAGACTGGAGATGTTTCTTTGATAAATTACAGTTTATTTACATCACATACACATTTACACAGAATACTAGAATGGGTGCTGACCTATACTCTCAATACATTGGTAAAAGTTCTTGGTCCTCTGTAAAGGCCAGCACCCCTCTCTTGTGGTCCTCATTCTTCTCTCAAACATTCTCTCTCTCTCTATATATAAAAAATAATAAAAATAATACAAATATAAATTCCTATTCTCAAGATCATCCAAATAACTTATAAATATGAAATATTTCCAAAATAACAAAATATACATTTTACACTGTGATACATTCCTCCCCTCCAAATTAGTTTGCTCTGCAAACTGTTGATTTATAATTATTTTTTTATAAGTTTTTGTTTTTCTATAACTCTATGTACATATTTACAAACATATAAAAAAAAATTGAGTTATAAATACATATCTACACATGTACTTGCAAAAATCAAAATAATATTTATTAGCAAGGGAAAAATCTGAACTTTTGAAATATATTGAAAAGAATAATGAATGAAATAATTATTTTCTTATTCCTGATTAAAAGCATTAAAAAAATTATTTGAATATACAGAAATACCAAAAATATGTTAAATTTTGTTCCTTTTTATCAAAAATAAGATTTTACAGAAATTTACAGAAAAAAAACAAACAATACTACAGCTATTCATGTCTGGATGGTTGATCAAGCCAAGAAAGACACAAAACAACACTTATGTTTATAGGTGATCAGTCTATAAACATAAATGCTAACTGTAAAAACTATAAAAAAATATATAAATACATTACTAACTTTTAACTGAAGAGACTTACTAGAAGATTCCATTTAAGAAAAAAATAATCTTGTTGATGATATTCAATACTTTTTACAGATCAAAAATGAATTGAATT